GATCTTTCTCGGCTCTGATTGGTTGGTTTCGATTCATGCAAGCGTCATTATTTCACAGATTATCTGTCAGGATATAGAGACAGTTTGAAAAGTTCTGTTTTATAAAAGTTACTGCCGCTTTAAGTAGAGTACTTTAGTTAATTAGTTGAATATATCACACACACACACACACACACACACACACACACACACACTGAAAGCGAGCTAGAGAACACGCCTAAAAGAGGCAGACAGAGGATCCATCTGCAAAGATATTTACAAAAACATGTTATCTGCTCCACATCGATACTTATGTTGTTGTGCAATGCTGGCAGTTTTTAGGTGAGTCGAGCAGGAATCGGCCAGAGTCAGAGAGGGGAAGTAGAGATTACAGATGAGGAGATACACCAGGAAAGAGAGGAAGGGATACACTGAAGATAAGGAGACAAACAAATGAGAAAGGGATGTAGAGATAAAAAGAGAACAGGGAGCTGCACATGACCGGATTATGTCATTGCAGAGGCAACACATACAATAACATATTTTACTATATTATATATTATGAGTTTTTATGATGATGGACAGAAATCTGCAACTCTTGATTATCTTTTCATTTGTTGATTATTTCTATTATTAATTTAGTCTGTAAAGTGACAGTAAATAGTGAAAATTGTCCATGACAGGGGGCATCCTGGTGGTTGTCACATGTCATCACCGCTTCTTCCTCCCTATGTTTCCTGTCTCTCTGCACTGTAATACTGTCAAAAAAGCAAAACATTTCCCAGAGCCCAAGGTAACGTCTTAGTAATTGCTCCTTATCTGTGACAGACGATCCCAAACCCAAAGATATTCAGTTTATAGTAATGTACATCAGAGAAAAAAACACATTTAAAAGCAGGAAATGTAAAATTATTTAGAATTTGTTCTTGATAAGTTACTTAAACTTTATCCAAGTTGTTTAAGATCAATTTTATATCTCTCCGCCACTGATTAATCAACTAATCGCTTCAACAATAGTCGTCTATGTGTATATATAAATGTATCACACCAGAAGTTGAGATAAGGAATTAGTTTAATAAGTTTTGTGATTTATTTTATTTTTTTATGTTTTGCATTTGGTGTGTTGCCATGTCTCCAAAACGCCTGTTTCCACCTGAACTCGTCATGACGAACAGCTGGCCTGCAGCGAGATACACAACTATACACAACTATACACACAAAGTACACACACACGCACATATACACACACACACTCTCTCTCTCTCACACACACACATATACACACACACACACACACACACAGGAAGGAGGTTAGATTGATCCAGGTTTAGCTCTCAGGGCTAAGAGTTATTGAAGAGAATCATCCCTCTGTAATCATGTTAGAGCCAACCAGACCTGCCCAATACACACTGCTCTGAGTGTGTGTGTGTGTG